CCCCTCCTTACACTTTTAGACTTTAAGTGTGACTATTCCCCAACCAGTTCAGATGGGTGCCAAGTGCTGCCCCCCCCCCCCATCAGATGTCTGTTACCAAGACTCCTCAGGGACTTCATGTCTTTGTCCCATTGCTAGTCTGTTGCACTCCCCTCTTGGTTTGCTCCCATGTAGGCTGGTAATACTGGCTGCACTCCCTGAACTGAATCTTCAGTGTTGTCCTCTGTAGCACTGCCATCTAGGTAGGGGAGGTCATGTATCTAGCTGGTGCCAGCTCTGCAGCCCTCTCTGCAGCTGCTTTGAGCAGGAAGAGTAGCACTCAAGGCTTGGCACGCTAGAATGAGGTCTCCTCTCTCTGCCTTTCCTATGGAGACATAAACAAAACCCTCCCCTTGGGTGGATTAGGGCCTTGTTCCCCCATTGCCTTATTTTTTCTTCTCCTACCCCTCTGTGGGCCAGAAAGGCATATGAGGGGGTAGGGATGAGGATGTCTTTCAGCACATCTTGCTGTTTGAACTTAGCTCAGTGGACTCATGTTGTGCTTGTCCTTTTGTGCTTGCCTAACCACTCAGCATACTATCCTCCAATTCTTTCCATGAGACAAGGTGCTTCATCTTTTTAATCACTGTTTTTAAGGATGCGTAGTACTCCGTTGTGTGTATATACCAGAGTGTTATCATTCATTCATCCTTTGATAGAATTTTATGCTTTGTAATTGTGAACTGCGCAGGATGAACATTGGATCCGGATGTCTGGTCGTGGCCCATTTCTTATTTCTTCTGGGTTATATGTCCCAGTAGTGGAATTGCTGGGCCATCAGGTAACTCGATTTCCATCTGTTTTAGGTATCGCCAGATCGCTTCCACAGTAGCTGTACGTAACTACAAGACCACCAGCAGTGGATGAGAGTTTCTTTCTCACTACAACCCCCTCCAACATTTGTTGCTTTCTGTTTGTTTGTTTTTTTTACTTGGCCTGTCCTTGTGGGTGTTAGGTACTATCTCATGGTGGTTTTGATTTGCATTTCCCGGATGGCAAATGATCAGGAACATTTTCACATGCGTTTACTGGCCATTCAGATTTCCTCCTTTGTAAATCTTCTGTTCAAGTCTTTTGCCCACTTCCTTAGTGAGCTATTCTTTTGTTGTTGTAAGGTTGCAGCATACTTTGGATTTTAGTAATAAGACCTTTGTCTGATATGTCATTGCTAAATATCTTTTCCCAGTCTGTGGACTCTCTTATTACTCTCTTGAAGTCTTTTGGTGGACACAGGTGTTTATCTTTAGTATGTCCCTCTCATCTATTTTATCTTCCTCTGGTAAGTATCCTTCATTATTACTGATAGCCTGTGTAGTTCCTGCACTAAAGTTCTTAGCTTTGTCCCAGTTTTTCATTGATGATCCTGATAGTTTTGGGTTTTACATCGAGGTCTATGATCCACCTTGAATTTGCCATTGTGTATGGGGTGAGGTAAGGGTCTTGCTTCATTCTTCTGCAGGTTGATATCCAGTTTTTCCAGCACCATTAGTTAAAAAGGGCATCTGCTTCCCATTTGATATTCTTTTGGCCCTTATCAAAGATCAGTTGTCTATATTCTTTTGTTTGTATTTTTGTATTTTCTGTTCCTAACCATTGGTCCGAGTATCTATCCTTTTACCAGTACCATGCTGTTTTGACAACTCTGGCTGTATAATAGGTTTTAAAGCCAGGTAATGCAAGCCTGCCCAATTTATTCTTCTTCAGAAGTTTTTTTTGCCAATTCTGGGCTTCTTCTCTTTCCATATGAAGTTGGTAGTAAGTTTATCCATTTCTCTGAAAAATGATGCTGGTATTTATATCAGGATTGCATTGAACCTATATAGTTCCTTAGGTAATGATTCACATATTTACAATATTGAATCTACTGATTCACGAGCATGGAATATTTTTCCATTTGTGAAGGTCCCTTTTGGTTTCTTGTAATAATGCTCTGTAGTTTTCCTCGGACAGATCCTTTGTTTTTTTTTGGTTAGGTGTATTCCTAGATACTTCAATTTATGCTTGACTATTGTGAAAGATACTACCTTCTTTATCTCTTTCTGTAATTCCATCAGTTTTATATAGCAATCCAGTTGACTTCTGCTTGTTGGTGTTGTATCCTGCCACTCTACCATATTCCTATATCGCTTCCAGCACTCCTATTGTGTAGCTGTTGGAGTTCCTAGTACGGTATATAAAAATCATACCATCTGCAAATAACGATAATTTAACATCATCTTTCTCCAGACATATATTTGTGATATTCTCCCGTTACCTTATATTATTAGCTAGGACCTCCACTGGGGACAAGGGGCATTCTTGCCTGGTTCCCTTTTTCAATGTGAATGCTTTTGTCTTTTCTCCATTTATTATATTGCTGGCTGTTGGGTTTTCATGTATACTGATACCTTGTATATATTGAGCTAACTCTATAATGCCTGAATTTTTAATTTCAGGAAAAAATGTTTTTGTTTTTATTCTTTACTTTCATAGTTATCTATCTATCTATCTATCTATATATATATATATTGATTTTATGCATTTAATTAAATGTTACGGAAATGTCACACTTGGCGTTAGAGGGCTAATTTCCTTCCAGTCCTATCTCTTGAGTGTCTTAATTAGGAATGGGTGTTGAATGTTCTCAATGCTTTTTATGCATCTATTGATAATATCATGTGGTTCTTATTCTTTTTCTTCTCAATATAGTAGATAATGTTGATGGATTTTTGGTTGTTGAACCATTCCTGCATCCTTGGTATAAATCCCACTTGGTCATGATGAATTATTCTTTTTATATACTTTTTTATTTTTAAACATTTTATTGAGGCCTCGTACAACTCTTATCACAATCCATACATATATCCATTGTTATACTTTTGTAATTATGGGCTAAGATATTGTTAATGGTTTTTGTATTTATGTTCATTAGAAATACTGGCCTGTAGTTCTCTATTCTTGTCGGATCCTTGCACTTTTGGTATCACTGTTATACTAGCTTCATAGACTGTGTTTGAGCATTTACCATCCTTTTCTGTGTTCTGGAAGAGTTTGTTTAGAATTGGTGTCAACTCTTCCCTAAATGTGTCATAGAATTCTCCAGTGAAGCCATCTGGACCAGGGCTGTTTTTCATTGGTAGTTCCTTAATAATCTTTTATATTTCTTCTTTTGCTATGGGTCTGTTCAAGTTATTGATAACTATTTAAGATAATCTGGGGAGGGTTTGTTTTTCCAGATACTTGTGCATGTCTTCCAACTTGTATTCAATGGAGTACAGTCCTTCATAGTACTTTGTAATCAGTCTTCTAATTTCATTAGGGTTCATTTTAATTTCCTCTGTTTCATCCCTCAACCTGGATATTGACATAGGTCTACTCCTTCCTCTCTTTTGTTAGGTTTTCCAATGGTTTTGTCTATTCTGTTCATCCTTTTGAAGAAACAGGTTTTTTTTAAAAATAATTTTATTGGGGGCTCTTACAGCTCATAACAATCCACACATTGTGTCAAGCACATTTGTACATATGTTGCCATCATCCTTTTCAAAACATATTTTTCTACTTGAGCCCTTGCTATCAGCTCCTCATTTTTCCCCTTCCTTCTATCACCCTCCCTCCCTCCCTCCCTCATGAACCCTTGATAATTTATAAATTATTACTTTACTATCTTACACTGACCACTGTATCCCTTCACCCACGTTTCTGTTGTTCATTCCCTTGGGGGGAGGGTTATTCATTGATCATTGTGATGAGTTCTTTTCTCCCTCCACCTTCCCCCTACTCTTATGGTATCACTACTCCCATTATTGTACCTGATGGGTTTATATGTCCTGGATTCCCTGTGTCAAGAACTCTTATCTGTAATTATCTTGATTGTCTTTCACGTTTGTTGAATTCGGCTTTGGTGTCTTCGAGGTTGTTGGTAACAATTCTCTGCCTCTTCTAGCCTGTTGGTAAGTTCTTTGAACATTTGCTTTGCTTCGGCTGTGTTTTTCCCCTCTTGTATTTACCTGTGGTAAGTGGACTCTGTCCTCTCTATTTTATCATCCTTTTCTGTATTGATTCCCTCATATCCTGTATGACTCTTAGCAGCATACTGAAGATTTCTTTCTGTGGCAGTTCAAAGTCTGCTTCTTCTATGTATGTTGCTAGGTTCATGTCCTCCTCCGACATTGCATTTTGTTTTGCTTGCTTTCTTGTAGTGACTGCTGATGCTGGTCCTTGTCTGTGTGGTGTTTTGTTGCAGCTTGGTGCCATTTTCCTGAGTTAAGGAGCTCTGTAGGGATGAATCTAAGGACTACCATGGTCCAGCTATGCCATGGCTGATTCTAGTTGGATGCCATCTTGAAACTCCATTGAATTTGGTTTATTCATAATTAAAGTTTTACTTAATTAAAGATAACTTAAGTTTGTTTTTTTTTTAAAATCATGGCCAGGAAAAGGCTTTCAATTTACTTCTTAGGCCAGGTTTTGAAGAATTGATAGCCCTGGAAATGTTCTTGTTTTTTGTTTTTGATGCTAAAATATACCGGGGAAAGCTAAAGTGAAAGTGAAAAATGTTTGAACTTAGAAGATTTAAGAGCAATAAACATTGTATTGATTTCTGTATCTTATAAGCATGAATGCATTTATTTTGATAAAAAGAATAGGTTTACTTGGAAATTAGAAATTAGATCATTTGGCTGATCGGGTTTTGCCAATTTAGACTATCAAAATAAATAAAAAAAACAAACCCACTGCCTTCAAGTCAGTTCCGACTCAGCAGATTTTGAGGTTATAAATCTTTAGGGGGGTTGGATTGAACTCTTGACCTTGTGGTTATCAGTTCATTGTTTTTCTGACAGCACACCAGAGCAGAATAACAGTTTTCTGGGTTATTAGTTTTTCCTTTAGTCAATTTTTCCCTTTTAGTAAGTAATTTCAGTGCTTTGAGGCTTCTACTTTCTTCAAGGAAAGTGCTTAACTTTAGTTTTTTTCTTTTGTAGATTGATTATACCGGAACCGAGCCTTCTAGTCCATGTAACAAATGTTTGTCTCCAGAGATGGAACCTTGTATTTGTACCATTAACTTCACTCTGGAGCAGTCATTCGAGGTTTGTGCTCCCACGTAATGTGTTAGAAAAAATTCCTATTTCATAAAAATATTTATTTGAATGGCTTACTTATGGTTCAGGGTCTATAAAATTTGTTTTTTTAAATCATTTTATTCATTAACTAGAAAATTTTAAATCTATAAAAATAGTTTAACTTTGTATCAAATTTGTCTCTATTAGTATTTTTAAAATTATTGCTGACAATATTTTGCCATGCTTTTAATGCTAAAATTGTACTTTAGAAAATAAATACTAGCCCTCTTATTGTTAAATTTTTTATTTCTGTCAGATATGGAACATAATAAAAAACTAAACATTTAATAGAACCTTGTTAATCTTTTATATCTCATTAAGCAGAACTTTATCAATCTGGGTATGGTTGTTGTATCTTTCAATAATTGCAATGACCTTCTACTCTTCTCTGTAAATGAGCAGATGCTAAAGAACAGACAAAAAGATTCAGAATGTTTTGTAAATTTGGGTAGACCAGTTTATGTTTTCCTTTACCTAAAAAATGAATTTTACATAGTATTTCAGGGAGCAAAGCCACATCCTAATTTGCAAACTTAGATTCTAAGATTTAGATTTTTTAAAGGTAGTGATAGTGGTAGTCCTAGTGGTATCTGGTTGCCATCTAGTTGTTATATTGCTCCTGTATCAAGATAAAAGACTAATGCTGCCTTAAAAATATATATATATAGATATATATATAAACAAGTTTGGAAGAAGATGGAAATTAGTTTACTTTGTTATAGCAGCAATAATGTATAAATAAAAGGCATCTTCAAAAGAACATTTGAAAATACTCTTTATTTGAATAATTTCCCCCCTCTGTTTTTCTAGGGCAATGTGTTTATGTACTATGGACTGTCCAATTTCTATCAAAACCATCGTCGTTATGTGAAATCTCGAGATGATAGTCAACTAAATGGAGATCCCAGTGCTTTACTTGTAAGTAACATGATGAATTATAAAAATGTTGTATATATGAAACAAGAGTGGATGGTAATTTTCTAGTTGAAGATATTATTTAATAATGTTAAGATGAAAATAAAGTGTTACTTGTCATATATAGTTCGTATGGTGAAGGTTTTCAGTTAAAAATTTCCCCTGGTATTTACAGAGATTAATAATTTCTTACAATCAGAGGACATTTCGTTTCTGCTAATTTCCTATAGAATCATCAGGAATTTTTGTGAAATGTTGATGATACAGTGTACTTAGTGAGCAATAGAGTTTGAAGAGTGATTTACTTAGAACTGTGAATTCCAGAATTTTTAAACTATTAATATATCAGTCAGTCTCTATAAGGATGAAGCTGTAGAATATCTGTAATTAACAAGCTCCTCATCTGATGCCCAGCCTAGTGTGGAACCTGTGGATCATGGAACCTTAAGTTTCCTGACTTGTTACTCTGCTTTGCATGTAGTGATTCATGGGTGTATACTTTATGACATTGCTGCGAATACAACAAAAGTTTAGAGGCCCAGAGTAGTTTAGAAGTCTGTTAATGTCTTCAAATTGGTATAGAACTACAGCTATCTTCTGAACACAATGGACCTAATATAATAAAATTATAGTGCCTTAAGGTTATCGTCATTGGTTTTATTGCTAATTCCAGATGCGTGAGGATCTTAAGAAATCGAAGTTTATCTAATGACTTCTTGACCCATGCAAGGTTTTGGTAAAGTCTAAATTATTTTGCAAACCATGTGAGCTTTGCTCCTTAGGATATAATTTTTAGGGCTGAAATAAGAGAAAGTGATGTACCATCAAAAACACCAAATCTCTTGACTTCTCATAACTTGTTGATTGTGTTTAATGATCCAGAAGTGGTAACTGACTTATGTTTATTTATGCATTCTTCATTGAAGGCACACACACATAAAATGGATTCTTCTCTATAAACTCAAACCCTTTGACTAGACTAAGAATATTCAGCAGACTTTTCTCTAAAAGCCCAGAGGACCATTATTTTATTCTACCTGGGCAGCCATGTGGATTTTTCTTTTTTTTTAAAGATAATTTTATTGGGGGCTCTTACATCTCTTATAACAATCCATACATGACTTCTATCAAGCATATTTGAACATATTTTGCCATCATTATTTTCTAAACATGCCATATAGAGCAACGTTGTTCTTAGATGCCGTTGAGTCTGTTCCGATTCTCAGCAACCCTATATACAACAGAGCAAAACATTGCCTTGTCTTGTACCCACCTCAATATTGTTACCGAATACACTCGAGTATAAGCCGAATTTTTCAGCACATTTTAAATGCAGTTTTTGTGGTAAAATTAGGTGCCTCGGCTGATATTCGGGTTGACTTATACTGGAGTATATACGGTATACTTGAGCTCACTATTGCAGCTACTTTGTCAGTTCATCTTAACAAGGATCTTCTTCTTTTTCCTCTTCCCTTTCACTTTAATCAAGTATGAAGTCGTTTCTAGCGACTAGTCTCTCCTGATAACATGTCTAAAGTACATGAGACAAAATCTCACCATCCTTGCTTCCTAGAAGCATTTTGGCTACACTTCTTCCAAGACAGTTTTGAACAAACCTATTGCCATTATGTTATTTCTAACTCATGGTGATCCCAGTACTACAGAGCAGAACAGCTCCGTAGGTTTCTCTATATTTATATCCCAGTGAAAATGATGTCAATTTGATAATTGCATAAATGATAAAATATATGTGACAACAAAGTAAAATTAAGGAACATATTTTGAGTAGTTATAAATGTGTTATTTATAGTTTATATGCATTACAGACTCATTTTGTAAGCATTACAAGTGACAACAGTTTGAATTTTTAATCAGTAATTAGGGTTAGTTAAACACTCACCCTGGGCCTGAGCAATAATTTCTCTTTTCTTTTCCTTCTAAAAATCAGAATCCCAGTAAGGAATGTGAGCCTTATCGAAAAAATGAAGAGAAGCCAATTGCTCCTTGTGGAGCTATTGCCAACAGCATGTTCAATGGTATGATGCATATACAAATATGTATATATTTGAGCAGTTAAAAAATATATATATATATGATTAGGACAATCTTTATAATGTACTAGAGATTGTAAAATTTAATTAAGATGATTGGAATTGTGAATTCAATGCATTCAAGAGAAATGTATTCACCAGGTAATAAGTGAGGTATTATAATGCTTCTTAATTTTTGAACATTATATTTTAGAATGAAAATTATAACGATTTCTGTTTCTGGGAAGAAAGTAATATTAAGCAAAAAGTAATATTTTATATTTCATATAAAATAAAAGGCAGGCTGTTTTTGATACCAATTTTATTTGTACCACTAAAGAGGAGTTACAGTGGATAATTGAGAATAGAAATGTCAGGTCTAAATGCAGCGTAATCATAAATGTGGGTAATTTTTGTAATTTTAAATATTCTAGTATAACTACTTTTTAAAACGTAAAAAGGAACAAGTAAATGTTAATATGCTTTATTTAACCTAGTATAACTAGTATATAAACATTATTACTAAGATTTTAAAATTGTTTTCTTGTATTAAGTCATTGATATTTACATACATTTTATACTTACATCACATTTGAGGGGGTTTCAAAAAGTTTGTGAATAGTGATTGTACAACTCTTCTTGATATAATTTAATTAAACTATTGAATTGTGTGTTGTGTGGATTATGTGTCAAAACTTTTTTTAAAAAGTTTGGAAAGAATGAAATGAAAGCCTAATGTGTGTCTTTTTTTCACAAACGCTTTGAAGCCCCGTTGTATTTATTTGATAGTCATCTTGAAAGTGCTCAGTAGCCATATATGGCTAGTGACTACTGCACTAATACAGATAAGGAAATCGATAGCAAGGTGCTTTTATTAGGTCTGGAGGAGAAAAAGATTTGCCTTGCTATTTGTTGTTAGACGTGATTCATAATTAGGTGATCAAAAGCAAGGATACGCCATATGCCTGCTGTGACACAATCACTTTTTGGAGTTAATACCAGATTCTCATGTCTCATAAAGTTAAGCATGTGCACTGTAGAGTTCAATTAGGTAACTAGCAATGTTTTCCTTTTGTGCTTAGATACACTAGAATTGTTTCTGATTGGCAATGAATCTGATCCAACACCTATTCCTTTGAAAAAGAAAGGTATTGCTTGGTGGACAGATAAAAATGTGAAATTCAGAAATCCTCCTGGAGGAGAAAGCCTAGAAGAACGGTTTAAAGGTAAAGTATTATTAATATCTCTCTAAGAAATAGAAGCTCTTAAGATCATAAGCTAGGAGTTGTAATGACATATCTTACTTTTTTTAATCTTTAGAATCTTAAGAATATGTACTTTAAAAAGACAAGCTTATTTTTCACACCTGCTGCTTTTGATAAAATGTACGTAGCATAAGCTAATATACTGGATTTCTAAAATAAATGCAGAATTTAGTCCTGAATTGAGTGTCTCTTGTATTCAGCCATTTTCTTTTGCTTATTTATTTTAAGCCAACTTCTTTAAAAACTGCAACACAGCTTCTTTTAAATAAATGCTATCATTTGTCTTCTACATATCTTTATTTCTGTGCTCTTATTTTCATAATGTAATGTTACTTGCCATTATATCATTGCATTATGTATCTGACTTTTGTATATATCCAATATCCTACTTTTAGTATTCTCTTGAAGTATTATCATCAACCAAGTATATGTATTACTTTGCTAAATTGTTACATGAATAATTGATTTCTGAATAAATTTGAAGAATTTCTTAGAAATGAATATAGCTATATGTTTGAAAATAATAAAAATACTGATTGTGTTGTGTACACTTTTTAAAAAGTGTAGATTTTCTGTAAAACACTTTAATAAAGTTAAATATTTTGTTCTCCCCTTCATCCTTCCGTTTTTTAAGGTACAACAAAGCCAGTAAACTGGGTTAAACCAGTGTACATGCTGGATTCTGACCCAGATAATAATGGGTTTTTAAATGAGGATTTTATTGTTTGGATGCGTACAGCAGCATTACCTACGTTTCGTAAGTTATATCGTCTTATTGAGCGGAAAAATGATTTCCATCCAACGTTACCAGCTGGACGATATTACTTGAATATCACCTACAGTATCCTTTTTTTGGTTTTGTGTACTTCATAGAACTTGAACAAAATGTAGTTCAACTTTTTCTTAATTATAGGACATGTTACTTTGTGCATTAGTTTGATACAGTATCTGAATTTTTATGTGTGAGCATATGTAAATATATATGCATTTTTATCTTTGAGTTTCTATCTCTGAAAAATAGCATAAATTTTTATCTGCTTTATTTTAGGACTTCCAACATATTATCTGGTAAAAACTTATTTAAAATTTTAGGTACTTGATCTCTCAATAAGCTGTCAATTTTTATAAGGAAACTATAATTGAACTTAATGTAGAGGCCAGCCAGGGTGCCTAATATTAAGTGAATGCTGGTAGTACTGGGCTGTTTCAGTAGAAGAATTTAAATAATAAAAATCTGTTAGTTCACATCAACATAGTTATTTATAACTATTGCTCTGCTCAAAGTTTCAAAACATTTTTATTATTAACTACACTGTTCTACGTTAATAGAGCACACTTTTCTGTGCTTATCAGTATAATTTCTTTTGCTCTGACATTGTAACATTTTACTGTATACTTTTCATGCATTATTTTATTTCACTCAGGTAACATGAGGTAGCTGTCATCTTATTACAGCTAAAATACAGGAACAAAGAGCTTAATTTACCCAAAATCACACAGGCAATAATTGGGAGATTTGTGGTTAGCATAAAAAACTATGACTTTACTATCAGACACCACCATAGGTGGTAGCCCTAGCTAGTTCACTCCAGAAGTAAAACCATTTCATATTGGCCTACATGCAAACTCTTTTTCTAGGAGGGAAAAATGGGGCAATTCCTCTCATCCCAAAGAAATTCCTTACATCTTTGCATCTCTAGCACATAGGTTATTTATATCCCGAGTAGGAAAAAAAATTATTTACTAATCATCTTTCTACTTTTAATTTTTGTTCATCAAAATTCTCCACAGCTATACTCTTTTACCTTTAAAAGGGAATAGTAAGTATATTCCCATATATGACCCATATATAAAGTAAGGTTTGTTTTTGTCATTTTAAAATTGTATCTCAGTACATGGATGCATATGGCTTGATAGAGACCACGTTTTTGAAACCAGGTCCACACTTTGTTGTGTGTTTTTCACGATTTATTTTATTTTATTGAATTCAAGCAGAAACTATGAGATAGGAGTGATTTTGGATAGACAGACTCAACTCGGGTGCTAATTGAAAGAATGCTATCTTGAGTATATCAGCCAAAATAGAAGGTAATTCTGTCACAATTAGTATCTAAGAGATCTGGTAAAGAGTACCAGCATATTCCAACCTCCAACCTGGAGAGCAATGAAGGGACGCCTATAGAGCAACCGTGGCATCTTAGCTATCTGGTAATTTGTATGTATGAAGTCTGCAGTGGCATCCTTGGCACTATGAGGAAAACTGTTAGGAGTAGATTAACAAGACAGGAATTTGGGCTTGCAAACTATCAAGGCTTAATTAATGAATCTGAGTACAAGGTAGAAATTAGATAACAGAAACAAGGCAGAATTCCATCTTTTTTTATGATGGGGATACAGAGAGGGTAGGAGGAGACATGGAGACAGACTAGCACGGGTGATTTGATAAAGAATCTTCCAGGGTATTTGGTTAATTACTAAAGAATCTGCCTCGTAGCAGTCCTATAGAACAGAGTAGTGTTGCCCCGTAGAGCTTGCAAGGCTGTGAGTCTACTAAAATGGGCTACGACAGTGCTCTTCCTTGGAGCAGCTGTGGGGTCCCCCAGGGTGAATTTTCAGTTAGCAGCTGATGGCTTCAACCTCTGTGTCACTGGGGCAGTATAAGAAACAAACAAACCTTCCCATTGAGTCACCTGCAACTCAGCAATCCTAAAGGACAGCAGAACTCCTTCGGATAGCTGAGACTAAATCTTCACAGAAGGGAAAAGTCTTTCTCTTTCTCCCATGGAGTGGATAGTGGGTTTAAACTGATGACTTTGTGGTTAACAGCCCAGTGCTTAACCCACTACGTTAGACCTGAGCTCTAAAACCCTTAAAATCATTCTTGTCTCCACTTGTCTGAGAAACTAGTGGAGTCAAGTTTTTCTCTTTGTGGTCATAGAGCCCCTTCTGTGGGTATAGAGAGTTTTAGAAGCTAGATCCAAGTGGGGCCTAGCACCTGACTCAAAAGATGCTTTCAAAAAGCTTGTAAAACTTTCAAATCATGATATAATTCTGTGTTCTGTCTTTTGCAACTCTGCAGAATTCTAAGACTGGTACCTGAAGAAGGCTTATGGTGTCTTACTTCATAAATCAGTGTAAGGATATAATGCCCTTCCTTCCTTCACTTCAAATCCATTTTAGCAATCAGTTCTGTTTGCACCATGAATTTTATCCTTTTTCCAAATTAAAAAGCTCGAATGACCTGCTTTTTGACCTTGTGCTCAGAGCCATCTCAGATTCGTATAACTGCTTTTCTTCTACTCATGTATTTGAACTCACAAAGATGACCAGTCCCTGGATTCTTTCAGTTTCTCCTTACTTTCAATCTTCTTTCTTTCCCTATGCTATGTGAGTCTCATTACTCATCATTGAAGGGCTCTTCTGTATTACATTCCTTTGTGACTTAACCTGTCCTGACTGATGAGAGCGAAAGTATGTAGAAAACTCTAACTCTTAAGCTTGGATAACTCTTATTTTGTTTGTAAAATATTTTGAATTTTTCTCTTAACATTTAATTTGCTAAATCCTTAAAATTTTTTGTGATTAAAAGCATATGGGTGCCTGCCTATCATGGAAGTAGTAAAATGAATTACAAGCAATTAAGTGTCAACTTAAAAACGATATGGTTAAAGTTAAGCAACTCAGATGAAGTCTTCCTATACACTCACTCATCAGATTACCCTGTTCATTCTTTTGATGGACGAAAACGGATGATCTTGAGCACTATTTCGTGGATGGGAGGAAAGAATCCATTTTTGGGGATTGCTTACATCGCTATTGGATCCATCTCCTTCCTTCTGGGAGTTGTGCTGCTAGTAATTAATCATAAATATAGAAACAGTAGTAATACTGCTGACATTACCATTTAATTTTCTATTCTGAAAAACAAATCTACTGCATGTGCATCAAGGCCAGTCCTATTCAACCTAGCTTTCGAATGCTAATGTTCGGTTAGTATGTCATTTTTGAAGTTGGCACATAACTTTTTTTTGAAAGTGTTTTCCTGTGCTTCCCCGTGGATGACTGATGAAACTCTATGACGGGTTTAAACACATTACCTACATTGACCATATCAACACTGTAACTGCTGAAATGGCATTCTAATACTTGCTTTTTATTGGGACAGGCCATGTGATGCATAGAGCCCCTTTCATGTGAAATGTGTCTACTGCTTAAATGTTTATGCTATGTTGATAATACTTTATTGACATAAGATGCTGATATGCGTGCCTATTGTGTGAAGAAAGGGATTGCCGATGTATGAGTATAACGACTTGTTATCCTTTCAGGACTCAGTTACAGAAAGATGAAGAAAGACCAATCTAATAAAACACTTCATCATTTTCATGTGTCATGTGTAAAGGCTTAAAGTACCATCTTTGTTAAGGTGGTTCATGTATTCAGTTTGCCCAATAGAGTTCTTTGTCAAACTTAGCTTTGATTTAAACAACACAATCTGTTTATGTGTCAAGCATAGAGTTATGGTCATGTCCGAAGTGTTCAGGTAGGTTCCAAGTAGGAGAATTTATGATTCTTCTTTCCCTTTGGTTCAGTTGCAGTAGTCACTTGAAATGTTTTTTACGTGTAATCATTTCCTTGAGCTTCAACTTTTGTAAGGGAAGAGAGATGGGAAAACTGCTTGGCAGATTATCATCTGCTTTAACTAAAAACAGATATAAGTTCTCAAAGGAAACTTCATTCATGTGGTATTTACTATTTAGAAAGTTGCTTTAGCATTGGAAAATACCTCAAGTTTATTTTAATTTTGCAGGTAAGTGTATTGACTTACATACAGATATTATATTCCAGAAAAATTGTTAAACACACCCTGATTTTCTCCATATTTTATTCAACTTTTGCAGATAGGTCAAATACGGATGTGTCTTAGTTAAAATACCAGTTGCTTTGGTTGAAATTCTTTAAATTTTCATAGTCGAATTCTAGGGATTTTGGAGTATGTATATGATAAATTATAATATATATGGTTGAAGTTATTTTATTTTCTACTAGAATTATTTTAATATTATTGAATAAATGCTGTAAATTTGTGTGCTATGGAACTCATTCTTGAAGCGAATGTAAGCTTTTATTTTCACATGCATGAAAATGTACGATTGGATCAGAGGTGACTTAATTGCATTGAAATTAATTTTCTTTACTCAAATAACACATATGTTTGTATAAAAGAATGCTTGCTTGTTTATTCAGAATCTGTAATGGTT